TCAACTTCTAGCATGTTCTCCTCAAGAACGAAATGCTGCAAACAGAAGCAATTCAAACCCCGTATAAGAACAAACCTAACTCAATTTCTACTCAAATCAATCACGTATAATAACAAAGCTAACTCAATTTCTACAGTCTAAATCCTAAAATGTGAATGGTGTTTCTTACTTGACGCCAAAAGCTCAGGACATTGGATTTAACAGCACATCCAGGAGGACCATAATCAAAAAGTCCAGCGACGCCACTGTAGATCTTGAAAGAAGGGATATAGAACAAACGCCGCTCGAGAGTATTGACTACAGCTTTTCGAAAAGCCTCACGGTCAAGTGAACCGTTACCGGAGCCACTAATCGTGGACTGAAGCTCCTTCTCCACCGCTGATTTCTCGAGCTTTAATTTGTTGAGTAGCTCAATGGCGGCATCGATCTCCGGTTTAGCTGCACGGGAGGCCTTGAGAGCTCGGACGGCGTTACCCTGAGCTTCGACGGAGGAGGATTTTTCCGATAGCGATTGACGGAGAGATTGTTCGGTAGCGTCCATTGGAATCTGGATCGGAGCGATGGAGATTGGTTTGCGACGGATTGTGGTGGTTTGGAATTGACGAAAATTGAAGATTTGTCTGCGATGAAAGACCAAGGTAGAGAGAATGCGCATTCGACGAAGTAATGGTTTCCAGTTACAAGTGGTCCTTAGGGTTTTAGATAACGGGAAACCTTTGGGCCCAGAGAGTGGGTTTGCTTGACTAAATAATTAACATATTTAATAATTTTTCATATAAGAGAAATGTAAATTTGCTAAAATTAAATGTTAAATAGTTCAAAAATATTTTGAAAGCAAATTTTCAATAACCTGAAAATTATATTAAAAAAATATATACAAATTTTCAATAATCTGAATATGTTAATGTTAGTACAAGAAAATTTGAAATTAGTCTAAAGAAAGGAAAAAAATAATACTAAAATAAAGAATATTTAACTAACAAGAGAACCCAAAAAAAAAAAATGATAATCAAAGAAATTTTGAGTTTAAATCAAAAGGGAAATTGTCTATTTTGCATCGAAAAGGTAGATAGAGCAAAGATAGTCAAGTTTTTAGCTGGACTTAATGATTCTTATGCTGTCATCAGGAGGCAAATTATCATGAAGAAGGTTTTACCATCTCTGTCTGAAGTCTATCACAAGAAGGATGATAGTCAGAAAGGCTTCTCTAATGTGGTTGCTCCACCTTCTGCTTTCCAAATGTCAGCTCCTTCTTCTGCTTATCAAGTTTCTGAGACAACACATTCATCTTTGGCTGATCCTACCATCTGTTATGTTCAGAATGGACCAAATAAAGGAAGACCTATTTGTTATTCTGCAACAGAGTTGGTCATATTGCTGAAAGATGCTATAAGAAGCATGGTTTTCCTCTTGGCTTTACTCCCAAAGGCAAGCCTGGTGAGAAATCTCAGAAACCACCAGTTCCTATAGCAGCACAAGTTTCTATGATACCTACACAGACTGACACAGGATCTGCAAACCTGAGCCTTGAGAATATGGTTGGGAATATGAGTAAGGAACAACTTCAACAGTTCATTGCTCTTTTCAGTTCTCAGCTTCAGAATTCTCCTGCTACTGGTTCAACAATTGCTAGTACTTCTCAGCCTTACAATTCTGGTATCTCCTTTTCATCCTCAACCTATTGTTTAGTTGGAATCTTGACAGTTTCTCAACACACTTTGTCTTCTCAAACATGGGTGATAGACTCTGGTGCTACTCACCATGTTTCACATGACAAAGATATTTTCACTTCTCTTGACACATCAATATCAAGTATGGTGAACTTACCTAATGGTTCTACTGTCAAGATTAGTGGTGTTGGGACTATACGGATTAATGAACACATTCTTCTCAAGAATGTGTTATACATTCCAGAGTTCCGATTGAATCTTATCAGCATCAGTGCTTTGACTACTGATCTGGGATACAGAGTAATCTTTGACGACCCTCAATCTTGTGAAATCTAGGATCCTATCAAGGCAATGAAGATTGGTCAAGGTAGGAGAGTTGTCAACTTGTATGTGCTGGATGTGGAGGAACCAATGTCTGTCAATGTCATGGTGGATATCAGTGTGTGGCATAGAAGACTTGGCCATCCATCTTTGCACCGGTTGGATGTTATCTCTGAGTATCTTGGCACTACTAAACAGAAGAATAAAGGGAAAGATTACTGTCATGTTTGTCATCTTGCCAAGCAAAAGAAACTCTCTTTTCCCTCTCCAAATAACATTTGTAATGAGACTTTTGAGTTGTTACACATTGATATTTGGGGGCCATTTTTAGTTGAAACATTGGATGGATATAAATATTTCTTGACTATTGTTGATGACCATTCAACAGCAACATGGGTTTATTTGCTGAGAAACAAAGCTGAAGTTCTCACAGTGTTCCCAGGGTTTATTCAACAAGTTGAATTACAGTACAATAAAAAGGTTAAAGCAGTTAGATCTGACAATGCACCTGAGCTAAAATTCACCAGTTTATATCAAGTCAAGGGTATTATTTCCTTTCATTCTTGTCCATAGACTCCTGAGCAGAACTCTGTAGTTGAAAGGAAGCATCAACATATCCTGAATGTTGCTAGATCATTGATGTTTCAATCTCAGGTGCCTCTCTCTCTCTGGGGTGAATGTGTTTTGACTGCTGTATTTCTGATCAACAGAACTCCATCACAGCTTCTCTCAAACAAGACACCGTATGAGCTTCTAACTGGTAAATCTCCTCAGTATGATCAACTTCGCACATTTGGTTGTCTCTGCTATTGTACAACTTCACCAAAACAGAGGCATAAGTTTCAGCCACGATCAAAAGCTTGCTTATTTCTTGGTTATCATGCTGGTTATAAAGGCTACAAGTTGATGGATTTGGAGAGTAACAGTATCTTCATATCAAGGAATGTGGTTTTTCATGAGGAAGTCTTTCCATTGACAAAAGATCCAAACAAGACAGATTCTTTGGATATTTTCACACCGATGGAACCTGTGCCTTCCCCTAATCCACTTTCATCTATTTCTCCTCTACCATCACAAATTTCTGATCTACCATCACAAATTTCTTCAAAGAGAGTTAGGAAATTACCTACTCATCTTCAAGATTATGACTGCAATGCATTACAGTCTAATCATCCCATTTCATCTTCTATTTCATAATCATCCCATTTCATCTTCTATTTCATACTCTAATATCTCATCATCTCATCTTTGCTTCATTAATAGCATTACACAAATTCCCATTCCAAATAACTTCACTGAGGCACAGGATTCCAAGGAATGGTGTGAAGCAGTGGATAAAGAGATTGGTGCAATGGAGTCTACCAATACATGGGAAATAACTACATTACCACCTGGTAAGAAAGCAGTAGGCTGTAAATGGGTTTTTACTTTGAAGTTTCACGCAGATGGTAGCTTGGAAAGATATAAAGCCAGGTTAGTTGCCAAAGGATTCATACAAAAAGAAGGGTTGGATTATACTGAAACTTTTTCACCTGTTGCAAAGATGGTCACTGTTAAGTTGTTACTCAAGGTTTCTGCTTCTAGAAAGTGGTATTTGACTCAGTTAGATGTCTCCAATGCTTTCTTGAATGGAGAGTTGGAAGAGGAGATTTTTATGAAACTTCCAGAAGGTTATGCTGCTAGAAAGGGGATTACTCTACCTCCTAATGCTGTTTGCAAACTCAAACGATCCGTCTATGGATTAAAGCAAGCTTCAAGGCAGTGGTTTAAGAAATTCTCTGCATCATTACTTCATTTGGGGTTTGTTAAAGCCCATGGAGATCACACACTGTTTGTTAAAAGCAGTGGTGAAGATTTTCTAGCAATGTTGGTTTATGTGGATGATATTGCCATTCCTAGTACAAATGAAGTTCTCGCTGCTCAATTGACCCAAGACCTGCAACAAATATTCAAATTGCGTGATCTTGGAGCATTGAAGTACTTTTTAGGCTTGGAAATTGCTCGTACTGATGCAGGCATTTCTGTGTGTCAGAGAAAATATGCTCTGGAGCTTCTAGCTGTTACTGGCACACTTGACTGTAAGCCTTCTACAGTCCCTATGATTCTTAATCTTAAGATGTCTAAAGAGGATGGTGATTTGATTGAAGACAGGGAGTTATACAGGCGCATTGTTGGGAAACTTATGTATTTGACCATCACTATGCCTGATATCACTTATGCTGTCAATAAACTTTGTCAGTATTCTTCTACTCCTCGGACATCTCATCTCACTACCATGTATAGAGTGTTGCAATACATTCAAGGCACAGTAGGCCAGGGTTTGTTCTACTCTGCATCATCAGATCTTACCCTCAAGGGATTTGCTGATTCAGACTGGGTTTCTTGTCCTGGCAGTAGACGATCAACAACTGGTTTCACTATGTTCATGGGAGATTCTTTGATTTCTTGGCGATCAAAGAAACAACCCACTGTTTCTCGATCTTCAGCCGAGGCAGAGTACAGAGCTTTAGCTCTTGCTTCATGTGAAATGGTTTGGTTGAAGACTTTGCTCAATGACTTACGCGTTTCTTCTCCAGTACCAATTCTCTACTCTGATAGCACGGTTGCTATATACATCGCTACAAATCCGGTTTTCCATGAGTGAACAAAACATATAGAGTTGGATTGTCATACGGTTCGTGAGAGATTGGATAATGGTCTCATCAAAATGCTCCATGTTCGGACCTATGATCAAGTAGCTGATATCCTCACTAAGCCATTGTTTCCACATCAGTTTGAACATCTGAAGTCCAAGATGAACCTTCTCAACATTTTCGAATGCTCATCTTGAGGGGGACTATTGGATACATTTGTTGGTTTAGTGTTGGTTAGCCGGTTTAAGTTAATTGTATAGCTAAACCGTAGAGATAAACTTATGTATATAATACATTGTACATATACGTTTATACACTAATGAGAAATTGAAATCATAACAAACTTTTCTCTCATCTTCTTCCTCGTAACATTGTTAATACTTGCATGGAACGCTAGAGTTGGATATTCCTTTGATAATATTCTCAACCATCCTTTTGTAGCCCAAGTCGGCACAAGATCACACTTAAAAGCACAAACGGAAAAGACACATTAAGATACTTAGAAAGTAACTTTACAATAGGAACAGTTAACTTAAGCTAGCTGGTTTCCAAAAGATGAAAACAACTAACCTTGTTCAACAATAGAATCATGTGTTTATGCTTGTGATGCTCTTTCAAAGTTTTCTCTAAATGATGACACCTAGTACCTTGTGGATCCCTAGCATCTAAAACCTGTCACAGAAAATACAGGTAAGCCAAAATATATAACTAAAAGATATCTCCTTCATTAACTCGAACCTCAAATCAAGACATACCTGGACAACTACATCAGAGGAGTCAATGACTTTGTAACGCTCACCCCAAATACGCTTACTCTGTCCCTTTTCAAACATAGTATGCCTCACCAAGTCTCTAAACCCATCTTCTTCTTCTCCTCCTTCACCAGAAGGACCAACCCCATTTTTCTCCTCATATGCATCTTCAAAATTACACAAAATGTCTCAAAAAAATATTATATAATGTATGCATCATTTCCTGTACACCAAGCCCAATGAAGCTCAATTTTACCCTGAGATTCAGCTGCTTTCTTCACCAAGGCTTCATAATCAGAAGCCACAAGCTTTGGTCTCTTCCTTTTAGTCTTCCTTCCAAAAGCATCTTGAAAAGGCTCCATGTCAAGTAAATGAACTCTCGATTGCTTAACAAAGAATCACCAAAACAAATCAAAAATCAAAAATCAAAACTTCAACACTTTAGATAATATGAATTCAACTAAAGATTAAAACTTTTACCTTCTTGTTATGAGTTAAAAGAGACATAGGCAACTTCCTCTCCTTCAAAATCACATTATAATTACTTGACATCTTAGTTTGAAGCTCTTCTCTAAAGTATTCAAGCTCTTTCTGAGTAGATTCTTAGGTCTGATATTTATCATTGTTATCTACAATTGTATTTGTATATATTTCACTGACAAACCTACTACTAATTATTTGGAATTTTAATTCTTATGAGTTAAAAACTTTGTGCACGTCTCTATATATGTTTTACATTTTGTCCTCTTCGTATTTGGGTATATTATATTGTATAATTTGGGATATATGATGTGGTTACTACCGATCTTTGGAACCGAAGAAAACAAACGGAATTCCTGTATTCTGAGAATGATTTCACGATTGGTCAACAAAATTGCTAACTTGTGTTTTCAATGTCTCCTTTTTATGATTTTTCTTTTATCACGTGGAAACGCAGAAATTGTTGACTCGCTAATACATTAACGAAAACGACAACCTTCAAAAGCAGTTCTTTCAGGCTCCAGACCAAAAATATTAATATATATATATATATATATATACGAAGGATAAAAAACAAGAAGAATGTTCTTTATTATAAACCATCCCAATGAGACAAAGAAGCTATTCAGTAAAACAATAGACTTCAGTCAGTCTACCTCCAAGCTTCAACCATATTCTTTTGATCTCCCTTGAATGCAAGACCCAATTCTTTCTTCACAGGAGTAATAACAAGTTTCTGAAATAAAAGATAACCATATAATAGAAAACTTTTGGCACCTGATTTAATATACTAGGAAACTTTGGGTTTAATATGTAATTGGAAACTGTGTTGCAAAACCCTGCATCTTCTTATCATTTGGTTAATCACCAGTGCTAAGCTAAGCTGCGGGTTTTGTTTTGAATGCTATTTATCTTTGTAATTATTAGGAATATTAAGTGAATGTCCAAGTGGCCACTTACTGGCTTTATCAGTAGAAAGAAGAAGAAAACAATTATAACCGATAGTCTTCTTGGGTTTATCAGTAGAAAGAAGAAGAAAACAATTATAACCGATAGTCTTCTTTACCCACTTCTGTTATCACTTATCAGGTATCGAGCTTTTCGAAATCGAGACACTTCAAAACAAAACATAAAAAATGGGCAGACCCAACAGACGATTTTACCGAAATTTTTTTTTAAAAAAAACTTTGGTTTTTCATTTAGAGAAACAATGAGCTAGCTACTCGTCTGCAGCAGCAGAAGTGTGGTGCGGGAAGCTTGCCCAGACATCTTGCCACGTCTTCTTACCCTCTGCCACTGAACTCACAACGGAAGCTGCCTCCTTCAAGGTGACACACACTTGATCTTTGCTGTCTCTTTCTCTGATGGTCACTGATGTGTCTGAGTCCACTGTTATTGCAAATGGCACTCCAAGCTCATCGGTTCTCGCATATCTTTTCCCTATTGATGTACCTATTCAGACACACACATAAACCTTCACTCGGTTTGCTCCATTTCAAAGTTCTAAAAAACTTCAAGTTTCAAATTGTTTTTACATACCAGTGATGTCAATCTTATGTGAGATACCGACAGAAGCGAGTTCCTTGGAAATCACTTTGGCTGCTTCCTCGAATTGTTGCTTCTGAATAAGCGGGAAAACCGTGCACTTGATCGGTGCTACAAGAGGAGGGAAACGGAAGACATTTAACTGTTCATCTCCTGCTTTGCTTGGCCTTGTGCTGAAGCAATGCTCGTACAGACAATATATGATTCGACCAATCCCAAATGATGGTTCAATCACTGATGGAGTGAAAACCCGCTGGTGCACTTTCGTCATCTCCTTTGAGATTGACACCATGTTCTTCTTGATGTTCACGTCTTTCCCAAGGGTACACACTTTAAAATCCACTTCTCCTTTGGATTCCAGGGTTGCCTTCATCTCCATAGCTTCTTGCTCATTCATCGCCTAACAAAACATTACACCAAGCATGTTCTTTATCATAAACCATCTCCATGAGACAAAGAAGCTATTCACTAAAACAAAAGACTCCCGTCAGTCTACCTCCAATGCTTCAACCACATTCTTTTGATTCCCCTTAAATGCAAGACCCAGTTCTTTCTTCACAGGAGTTATCTTAACTTTCTGAAATAAAAGCAAACAATATTAAGAACAAGTTAACTATGTAAAAGAGAACCATATTAAGACTAATTATGTTCATTAAAATACCTCTACTTCTTTAGCTTCTGCAAATTTCTCTTCAGCCACTAGAGGAGTGTTACTTTTTTCCTGTCGTAAAACAGTTGATCCACAATTAATTATCTAGCTATCAAGTGAAATGATGAGAAATAGAGATAAAAGGTAAGTTTCTTACAGAGTGAGCAAGTAAGTCGTATGCAGACCTATCTGCAATACCAACACATTCAATCCACCCATATGAACTCTCAATTTCAGCATCCCAACAATCTGCTGCATAGTGGGCCATTTCATTTGCTAGATGCTGACGGAAGCGCAGCCGTTCCTTGTCTATGCTAAGACGAGTAAGGAAAAGATACACTCTCCCAATGAAGTATCCCAGAGTTTCATTGTTCACAGTACCCTATTCGAAAACGTTTTCAGTTGCAAGTATCAATAAGATATAAAAAGGGGTTTGTGTGAGTGCATAGTAGAATTAAGTAGGCAAATATGATTACAAATACGGACCTTGGCCACAGCTTCGCCAAGGCATAGTTTTTTTGCAGATTGGCCAGACATTTGTTCCTCCCTTGGGAACATAAGGAATTCCAATTTTGCTACATCAGAGAACTTCGGATGTGACTTATTCTCAGGATCAACAAAGTGTTCAATTTCTGCCAGCGTGAATTCACGAACTCTAAGAAGCCCTTGTCGAGGAGATATCTGCGAGTAATATGCTGTTTATTTCAACCCAGACATTATGTAGAAAAGAGTCTCTTAAAGAAGATTGAGATGAACACATCCCATATATCAAGCAAAGCAAAATTTTACCTCATTTCTAAAGGCTTGACCAATTTGAGCCGCAGCAAAAGGAAGTTTCTTCCCATTGTAATAGTACAACTCCTTAAAGTTCACAAAAATGCCTTGGGCAGTTTCAGGACGCATGTAACTGAAACAAAAAAAAGTAACTTGATAACAAAACTCAGGGAAGAAAGTAGCTCAGAAACGATTATAAAATGAAAAATACTCACCCAGGAGTCAAACCAGATGGGCCAATGGATGTTTTAAACATCAAGTTAAACGGGTAAGGATCAGAAAGTGGATTTTTCGTGTCTGGAGCAGTGATCCCATACTCCTTTATCTTGGCACCAAGCTGTTCAGCAGAAAAATCCTCCATAACAGCAAGAACATCCTTCAATTCAGCAGCTTTCTCAGCAGAGATTGTAAGATCTTTCTCCAGCTTCTCGGTGCAATAATCTTTGAGCAAGTGGTCGGCACGGTAGCATGTTCCAGTTTTCTCATCGTTAACCATAAGATCAGTGAACTTATCCACATGCCCAGATGCCTTGAGAACAACCTCTGGTGTCACACATGTACAATCAACTTCTAGCATGTTCTCCTCAAGAACGAAATGCTGCAAACAGAAGCAATTCAAACCCCGTATAAGAACAAACCTAACTCAATTTCTACTCAAATCAATCACGTATAATAACAAAGCTAACTCAATTTCTACAGTCTAAATCCTAAAATGTGAATGGTGTTTCTTACTTGACGCCAAAAGCTCAGGACATTGGATTTAACAGCACATCCAGGAGGACCATAATAAAAAAGTCCAGCGACGCCACTGTAGATCTTGAAAGAAGGGATATAGAACAAACGCCGCTCGAGAGTATTGACTACAGCTTTTCGAAAAGCCTCACGGTCAAGTGAACCGTTACCGGAGCCACTAATCGTGGACTGAAGCTCCTTCTCCACCGCTGATTTCTCGAGCTTCAATTTGTTGAGTAGCTCAATGGCGGCATCGATCTCCGGTTTAGCTGCACGGGAGGCCTTGAGAGCTCGGACGGCGTTACCCTGAGCTTCGACGGAGGACGATTTTTCCGATAGCGATTGACGGAGAGATTGTTCGGTAGCGTCCATTGGAATCTGGATCGGAGCGATGGAGATTGGTTTGCGACGGATTGTGGTGGTTTGGAATTGACGAAAATTGAAGATTTGTCTGCGATGAAAGACCAAGGTAGAGAGAATGCGCATTCGACGAAGTAATGGTTTCCAGTTACAAGTGGTCCTTAGGGTTTTAGATAACGGGAAACCTTTGGGCCCAGAGAGTGGGTTTGCTTGACTAAATAATTAACATTTTTAATAATTTTTCATATAAGAGAAATGTAAATTTGCTAAAATTAAATGTTAAATAGTTCAAAAATATTTTGAAAGCAAATTTTCAATAACCTGAAAATTATATTAAAAAAATATATACAAATTTTCAATAATCTGAATATGTTAATGTTAGTACAAGAAAATTTGAAATTAGTCTAAAGAAAGGAAAAAATAATACTAAAATAAAGAATATATAACTAACAAGAGAACCCAAAAAAAAAAAATGATAATCAAAGAATACGTAACCCTTTCCGGAGCAAGTCTCTGCCAATTAGGATAATTAGATAGAGAAGAGAAATTCAGATGAGAGCTAGAACATATTGTAGAAAATTTTGTCAGTTTCTATTTAAAATTAAAATATCAGAAAAAAACAATAAGAAGGACAATGTAGAATTAAACTTCTAAGTTCTTATCAATTAAGATAGTGTGTAGAATTAAACAGTTTATTATCATGAAATAAATAGTTAAATTGTGTTGCAAAATAGAACGTGTTAGATTGAAATTTTGGTTAAAAGAAAATAGGTTAAATAAAAATATATATTACTATTTAGAATTCAAAAATATTATCAAAATATATATATATATATATATATATATATATATATATATATATATATATATTTTACTTCTGTAATAGTTAATTTTTTTTATTTGCAAAGTGGTTATTTAATTTGTAACTTTGGATTACTATTGCTTCTATATTACTATTTAGAACTCAAATATTAATCAAAAAAATATTTCTATTTATTTCTCACTTTCGCCTATTTAAGCGGATTTTATCTAGTTTTATAATAAAATCTGCTCCAACTCACCTCTATTTTCACATCTAAAATATATATTGTTATTTTTCTTATATATATATAGTGGAACTCTATTCCTTCTATAATAGTTAAACTTTTTTTTATTTGAAAAGTGGTTCTTTACTTTGTAATTTAGGACTACATAACCAAATTCGTCTTAGAGAGAGAGAGAGAGAGAGAGAGAGAGAGAGAGAGAGAGAGAGAGAGAGCGCCATTTATTATTACATGACCAACACAGCTTTTCTTCACTTCTTATTCTTGATTGGCTTGACAGTGGGTGTGGCCTCAGCGTTAGATCATTTCCAACAAAGTACCAAGTGTTCCTCTCGATCTCAATGGCCGACCAGTCGTCCACGATAGCTCCATCATCTCCTCTATTGATGTTTCCTCCTACGCTACTATTTCCTCATCCGCTGCTATTTGTATAGTTATGTTCGAGTAAGACACTTATAACAAATACTAATATCTAAAGTTTAACTCACATAACAACAGTAATTTAGTTTAAGAAAAGAAAAATTAACTTACATGATTTTAGGATACTTATGAGCAGAAACTTGCGGTGAAACCAGAAGTTTTCACTAAAGTAGGAAGCTTTGAAGTGGGCATCGATTCATTGCCGAGACAAGCAAGTTCCATTACATCCATAATCCTTACGGAAAAATGAAGCATTCCTTCAAGGATTTTTATGATCTAAAGAAAGAGTTCATGAATGTGAAGATTGAAGAAACAAGCAGTCCCACGAAGGCTCAAGACAAAAGGCTGTGGAGATTAAAGAGAACTACTAAGCTGAACAAGCTCTAAAAAGGAGTCAAGCCAAATACAAAGGAGCAACTAAACTGAAGAAGAAGAATAAGAAGAGGGAGGAGAGAATGAACACGAGGAATCAACCCAAAACTGTGAAGGAGGAAGAGGCCGAGCCAGAGGAGGAGGGAGAACCGCCGGTGATAGAGGGTGAGTAACCGGTGACAGAGAGGAATAGGAGGAAGAACGGAAGAGAGAGAAAATTATGGGGTTAAGTATTGATTAAGTGAATTTAGTTAATGTTAGAGGCAGATGTAATCGTGTTCTTTTACTTATGGATATGTTTTATTGTTAAATTAAATCTATGTAATGGCCCAGCTTAATTCATTAGAAAAATGTGTGAGTTTCTATTTAAAATTTAAATATCAGAAAAAATTAAACAATAATATGGAGTGTGTAGAACTAAATTTTTTTAGCTCTTATCCATTTAGATGGAGTGTAAAATTAAACTGTTTAATATCATAAAATAAATAGTTAAATTTTATTGCAAAACATAATGTCAGATTGAAATATTTTTAAAAATAAAATAGATTAAATAAAAATGTACATTTCTATGTAGAATTTATATATTATCAAAACAATTTCTATTTATTTATCACATCCGACTATTTAGGCTGATATTATCTAGTTTAATGATAAAATCTGCTCCAACTCATCTCTATTTTCACATCTAAAATAAAATTTTTTTTTTTTTCTCTATATATAGAGACACTCTATTTTTTCTTCTGTAATTTTTAAATTTTTATTATCTCCAATGTGGTTTTTTTGTTTGTAATTTTTTATATTTATGATTAAAATAAATAAAATTAATACTTTGGGTTGATTTTAGAGGTTTTATAGGATTCGCGCTATTGAAGTATGTGACATCGACAAATTGAGAGAGAACAGTGGTAAAGTTCGCCCAAGTTGAGCCTAACTGGTTAAGTGAATCAGGTACGACTCTTACATGCATCGTTGGCGGAAATACAATAATTGCTTGAAAATAATTGTCTCTGTTCTGTAGAACATCGTTAGGAAATGTTTTAGAAAACTCATACAAATCTCCAGCATCTCTCATCTGTGTGAGCAAAACACAGTGGCATCTAATTGGACGATAAATAATCTGGTGAAAATTTCTCCCTCTCAAAGTGTACATAGGATGGTCCATATCCAAATCCAATGCCGCATGAGGATTAGTAGTGACATTAGTTTCATAACATTCCGCAAATAAAAGTATTTTTTCTTCGTGTCATTAATAAACCGCATGCAAAAGTTTGTAAAATATTATTTAGTTCAGTTCACTTACAATAAGATATAATATAAATTACAAATATAATTTATTTTTATAATCGTAGAAAGTTACTTTAGTTACTAAAGTATATCAGAGTATAATAAAAAAAAGATATAATTCTTGAGAGGAAGATACTTACGAAAGTAATGTTGTTGGACTATTTAGACCATGTACAATGCGGATGCTGATTTTTTTATTCAACTGTTGAATGGCTCCAATGGGCTTCTTGAAAAAAATAAAAAGATGAGGTGGATTAAACTTAATTAAATTTGTTCAACATTTTGAAAAAACTAAAGTGGAGACCATGCAGATTTTTTTTTCTCATCTCAATTATTTAAAATCAGTTATTGTATGTAAAATATTTTTTTCATCTATGTTTCTTATATCAAACTTCATCATTTTTATACTCTATAAATAAAGACTTGGTTCATTTCATTTGGACATAGAAAAAACGTTATTTTTTCTATTATTGTTTTGTTATTTTCCAATAAACTTTTGTTTATATGCTTAAATAAAAACTTTCTTAATATATCCCAACAATATTGTAGTTATTAACGTAAATAATTATGTAACTTTTAATAATTTTACTTTAAAATCAATGGATGATTGTTATGAATATGTAGTTATAAAATTATAAAAGATAATAAGAATCATATATATGAAAGTTGGCCAACTCTCTCCATATGAGTGCCATTTAATCAAACAATAAAATGACATGTTTCATTCTATATTATTTAAATAAAAGAATATAGCCAAATTAAAGGAGAAAAAAATTAAAAGTTCTTCATTGCATTAAATCCTCCATCATTTCTACTCTTAAATTTTTCTTTAAAATAAAATAAAAAGATTAGAAAACTACGTTAATTAATTAAGCCATACTTTCACTATACTTATCATATTTTACTAAAATTTTTTTTATCAATAGTCACTATTCGATAATGAATGAAAATTTATTTGTGTTATAGTTTAGTTGTTTGATATCTAACCTCTTATTAGTTTAGTAATTTTACTTTGAGTCTTCTCTCATTATTACGTTTTGTAGTTCATACACGACTTTTCATATTTGTGCCTTATGGTAACTTGGTTACATTGACATGCAAGTTTTTCAAGTAATGGGTCTTTGAGACGTTAGACATACCAAAAAATTCATGACACGACCATTTGCAATGGCAGAAGATCTAAAAGTATTGACTTAAAATGACACTTTAGTTTTTGCTTTTTTTCTTCTTTTGTATAAAAACTCTTGAGATCTTCTTCAATTTATGTCAATCAAGTAATTAATCATGAGCCTATCACGATGTGGCTAGAGTACTAGATGATGAGACATAAAATAAGGAATTGTTTAATTATGATCAAGTCAGGCAAGTTTCAAATCACACAAGTAACATAATTACATATAATTATATCAAAATATCTTAAATTGTTGTTGTATGTATTCATGATAGTAAAAAAAAATTTAGATCTTATATATAAATAATTAGATTTATACATGGAAATGTATAAATTGATATTTCAAGTCAAAAATGAATTTAAGAATAACAATTGTAACTACATAAAATGAATATAATTTTATTAACTACTAGAAGAAAATCTGGGCTATGCCCCAAAATATATACGATAATTGACATATTTCAAGTTAGGGTAGCCTTCAAATTAGATAGGTTTAAATTCGTTTTAACGTTTGTAGTATCCATTCAAAAACTAATCATAAGATATTGTATTTTACATTTAAATTAGAGTAACATATATATATATATATATATATATATATATATATATATATATATATATATATATATTTATTTGTTTAATATTCTAAATTCGCTTCATTACTTTGTTTTGTTTGTTTGCCTTTTTGCAAATTCGTTTCATCTCTACCATTGCCTATGTGAATCCAACAGTGGTTTTGATAATGAATATATCTTTCGTTTAGACTTTGGTTATTCATCATTCTTTCTCTTCTGATACATATAATATGAACTTCGGTGAAAAATAACTACAGAGTACCATTAGACAATGATTTTAGGGTAAAAATATTAACACAATACATCTCAAAAGCTTAAGAATGTGATCACGACTTTTTAACTTCATAACCTTGAGTTCAAAAAACATGAAAATCTACCATGTTCATATACCACAAAAATTTCTATCTATGGGAGACCGAGTACGTACATACCTTGAATAGTGTGTATATTGTCAGTGATCTTGCCATTTTTTTTTTGTACCTGCACAAAGGTTTTGCCAATGAAAACTGAAACATAAAGTAAGGATTAAAGACAACTATTATAGAATAAAGGAACAGAAATCAGTAAAGATTGCTATGACAATGTAACTTCCTCAAAGAAAATACATAAACTCCTAGCCAAGAGATTCTAGAACGTCCGTCCTACTTTTCTCTATATATGAATTATAAATATGCACTATAAAAAATCACGGTTGTTTAGTAGAGCGATGAGAATTAGTACTCTACAGAAACTCACAGATTCCAAGAAGGGTGTTAAAATTTCCACATGAAAACATTGGCCTTCTCAATCCAATATATGGGACTAAATTGGTTATTTCTCCCTTGAATCCTTCTAAGTTGTTCATAATCTTTTTTGTCGATCCAGCCCCAGATTTGTCTTCTGAAATCATGTATACATTCTTGTTAATATCTTCAATTAGCATGATGTAGTTCAAAGATCATATCATAGGCTAATTAGAAGAAAAGCATTATGCATTTCTAGTTTCGTAGTGGTAAAAACACACATCACATAGATATGAAATCTTTAAATTTGTTGACTCTATTGATTCACATGTACGTGGATAAAGTAATAAGATTTTTTTGTAGAGAAAGCTTACTCAAACATTTATGGTATTATTGAATTACATACGGGAGAAACAAAGCATCAAATCTAAGATTTGGCTTCTCAACGACTGCTCTATCCTGGTCATTCTTTTTGTTTTTTTAAGCCTCACATTACTCTCTCCCAAAACTTGACCCTAGCATAAGAAGTTCATGGTATCAATTTATATCATACACCATAAGCAAATCACCAAATAAATCAGGTTTTTTTTTTCTAGTAAAACATGGTTCACCCGAATTTTGATTTGTATCGCGATGTATGCATAGTCATAGAATCTCTTTTTCACTACAGGAAAAACGCGTATTAATAGCATTTGAAGATAGCGTTTTGTTTGTTTATGCTATAGTTTATGTTTGCCTTGATTATTGATAGCGTTTCGTGAAACTAAACGCTATGCTATGTTACGCGGCAAAAAGTAATTCTGCTCCCGCTTAATTATCTGGGTTTTCGATAGCATAACCATAATTGAAACGCTATACCATTGTCAACCGTTAATTAAAAATTTTCGTTGACCGCGAAAATAATGTTGACCGCCAAACAAAAGAAAAACTTGGGAAAAAAATTGTGTTACTTTCATTAAAATTAGGGTTCTGTCTTTGACAAAACACCCATTTCTCTCTCGTTTTTCCTTTGTTTCTCAATCCACAATTTCTCCGAGAATCGATGATTCCAGTTTGTTCTATTGCTCGTCTGTTTCGATCCACTTAAACCCAGTCTCGTTTCTTCATTCTTTGTATCGATCTCTATATCAATCTCTCTTTGTCTTGATCTCTCTATCAATCTCTCTTTGTCTCGATCTCTCTTTGTCTCGATCTCTCTATCAATCTCTGTTTCTCTTGATCTCTCTATCAATCTCTGTCTTTTATTTCAAAGCTTTGTCGATCTAAGTCTTCTTAATCTTCGTCGTCTGGGTCGGTGTAAAATCGAAGTTGTTTGGTCGATTTTTGCATTTAAGGTAAACTAAGGGTTGGGTTTTCAGATTTAAACTCAAAGTTTGGTCGAATCGGTGAAATTTGGGAATTTTGGATTTATACTCAAAGTTTAGTTCATCGATTTTCAATTTCAGAATTTGATTTAATTGTTTTGATTTTGATAATCGATTTCTAATTTATCTGTTTATGTTTGACTGTTTTTGCAGTTCAGTTTCGCACTCGAAGAAATAACAGGTATGTGAGATTTTGATTAAAGATTAATCTAGTTGTGTTTTATTATCTAAGGTAGTGATTATGTCGATTTTGTTTTTTGCAGACAGTCTTCAAAGTTGCAAGGTTTTGTTGTTGGCGATTGTTTTTAATCCGTAAGCTGTTAGTTTCTAACTCATTTGTTTAATTGGTAGTATGTGTTGATTTGAGTAAAACTGAGTTGAGTGTCTTATATATACTTTGAATTTATCCTCATAAATTGTAAAATCGGTGGTGGAGCTGTGGTCCTATTGTTGTGATATGGACAAGGCATGGGTGTGGCTTCCAAGGTATGAGTCTCTTTGAGATATGAACATTTGTATTTTCATTCAAATACTTTTGTGGTCTGATTATAATGATATGAACTCTGTATGGTCTGATTTAACATATAGGGCTAGCCGAGAGTATGTGGAAGGAGCAACAAATTTTGTGACTGCATCATCAAGGAGGTTGGGGAATCCATCTGAAATTTTCTGTCCCTGCATCGATTGCCGCAATGTTTGCAATCAACTTGTAGACACAGTAGTGGACCATCTTGTGATCAAGGGTATGGATAAGAAATACATGAGGAATTCGTGTTGGAGTATGCATGGTGAAAGAAAGTCTGATATTTCTGATAGTGTTCCCACATCAGAAACTGAGGCTTATGATTTGCTTAGGACGGCTTATTTTACTGGTGAAGGCAGTCCACAGCCATTAAACATCATTGGAGGAGAAACTGAGGAGGGTGAAACTACAGAAGACTCTGAGTTTAGGAAGAAGTTGAGAGATGCTGAAACTCCATTGTACTCAACGTGCTCTAATTACACCAAAGTTTCTGCGATAATGGGCCTTTACCGCATCAAAGTGAAGAGTGGAATGTCAGAGAACTATTTTGATCAGCTATTGACGATAGTCTATGACATGCTTCCTAAAGACAATGTTCTGCCAAAGTCTACAGATGCAATGAAGAAGTTCTTGAAGAATTTTGGGTTTGGATATGATGTCATTCATGCATGCAAGAATGACTGTATCCTCTATCGGAAACAGTTTGATAAGATGGAAAGCTGTCCTAGATGTAGTGCTTCTAGATGGGAAATGGATAAGCATAGTGGTGAGGAAAAGAAGGGTATTCCAGCGAAGGTCCTTAGATATTTTCCAATCAAGGACAGATTTAGGAGGATGTTTAGATCAAAAAGGATTGCTGAGGAGTTGCGTTGGCATTCGAGTAATGCAAGTGAAGATGGTACAATGAGACACCCTGTTGATTCTATATCTTGGGCTCAGGTGAATGAGAAATGGCCAGAGTTTGCTCTTGATCCAAGAAATCTTCGTCTCGGTCTTTCTACAGATGGGATGAACCCTTTCTCCATTCAGAACACCAAGTATAGTACTTGGCCAGTATTGTTAGTGAACTACAATATGGCTCCAACTCTGTGTATGAAGGCTGAGAATATAATGTTGACTTTGTTGATTCCTGGTCCAACAGCTCCCAGCAACAATATTGATGTCTATCTTGCACCATTGGTTGATGATTTAAAGGATTTGTGGAATGAGGGTATTGAGGTCTACGATGCATTTTTGAAAGAGAATTTCACAGTTAGAGCTATGTTGTTGTGGAGTATCAGTGACTATCCTGCGTTAGGGACCTTGTCTGGATGTAAAGTGAAAGGGAAACAAGCGTGTAATGTATGTGGAAAGGATACACCTTGTAGGTGGTTGAAGAACTGTCGAAAGTATGTGTATATGGGTAACAGAAAGCGACTCAGACCTGGACATCCTTACAGACGCAGAAAAGCATGGTTTGATAACACTATCGAGGAAGGCACTGCAAAAAGGGTTCAGTCTGGTACTGAAATATTTGACATACTGAAAGACTTCAGGAATGATTTTGGAAGAGCTTTAGATAAGGAAGCTAAAAGAAAAAGATCAGATTTGTTAGAAGATGAGGCGGTTCCAGAGGAAGAGTGTGATGAAAGCACTGATCAGTGGCGGTGGAAGAAGCGGTCAATATTGTTTGAGTTAGCTTACTGGAAGGTAATAGATTTTGTTGTTTTTTAAATTTAACTTAAGTAAATTGACATGAGAATATGATCGTAAAGCTGACTCTTTGATTATCTTTGTCTTAGGATTTGCCGGTGCGTCACAATATTGATGTGATGCATGTGGAGAAGAACTTGTCTGATGCTATGTTGTCTACACTGATGCAAAGTGCCAAGTCAAAAGATGGCTTGAAAGCAAGAAAAGACCTGGAAGATATTGGAATCCGAAGGCATCTGCACCCAGAGGTACGGGGAAAGAAAACATATTTGCCTCCAGCAGCTTACTGGATGTCTAAGGAAGAGAAAAAGGTATTTTGCAAGAGGTTGTCTAATTTCAGAGGTCCTGATGGTTATTGCGGGAATATTGCTAATTGTGTTTCAGTCAACCCTCCTGTGATTGGGAGTTTGAAGTCCCATGATCATCATGTACTCATTCAAACTTGTTACCTGTTGCGTTGAGAGGGTTGCTGCCAAGCGGCCCTAGGACTGCGGTAACTCGAGTCTGCAACTACTTCAACAGATTGTGCCAACGTACGATTGACCCAGAGAAGCTAATTTCTTTAGAGTCTGAGATTGTAGAGACAATGTGCCAACTGGAGCGGTTCTTTCCTCCTTCACTGTTTGATATCATGTTCCACCTCCCAATACATCTAGCAAGAGAGGCACGGTTGGGAGGTCCGGTGCACTTTCGCTGGATGTATCCTTTCGAGAGGTTTGTTCTTATCTTATTTCTATCTTTACATGTTGTGTTTTGAGACATGCTATTTTCTAACATAATGAGTACAAATATGAATTCTTGAATAAGTTGCAGGTACATGAAAACACTTAAGGCATATGTAAAAAACTATGCAAGACCAGAAGCGTGTATGGCTGAAGGATACTTGGCCGGAGAATGCATTTCTTTCTGCTTAGAGTTCCTACAGAATTCTGTACCAGTGCAAGAAGCTGTAAACCGTAACGAAGATGTTGAGGCTGATGGAAGTGTTGTTGAAGGCAGACCATTGCATAAGGGTCGAGAAGTTGTCCTTTCAGAGAAAGAGAGAGACATAGCACATCGATATGTCTTGATGAACTTGGCAGCTGTGGATCCCTATGTGGAGTAAGTTGAACCATACTCTCTCATTTACAGCTTCTTTACCTATCACACAGATAAGATAACTGCTCTACTATGGAATAACAGGATGCATTTGGAAGAATTGCAGTCTCAGGATGCTCGATGCGCTAGAAATGAAACTATTTTATGGAAATATCATACAGATCAGTTTGCCCAGTGCATAAAAAAAAAGGTTTCTACATATCTATTTCTAATTTTTCTTTACTTTAACACTCTTTTCATGTTTTAATTTCTGTCACTGATATTGTTTATGTTTGCCAGATTCCTTCTAATTCAAAAGATCACTCGACGAAGCTTCGGTGGTTGGCATTTGGACCTAGACTAACTGCTCATACCCACAAAGGGTTTGTCATTAACGGGCATCGCTTTCACACTGATGACGTTAAGCGAAAGACACAGAATAGTGGAGTGACTTATGAAGCTTTTAGCATGTGTAGATCTACTGCACGAGACACTAGACAAATGGCTGACATAGTTACTTACTATGGAGTGATTAAGGAAATTATACTTCTGGACTACCACATGTTCACAGTGCCATTATTCAAATGCAGTTGGGCCAATAGAGGGTATGGTGTAAAGGAAGAGGATGGATTCACGCTTGTGAACCTTCATATGAATCAATCGTCATATCTCCAAGATCCATATATTCTCCCATCACAAGCAAAACAAGTTTTCTATTCCAGAGAGAATGACACATCACCTTGGTATGTTGTTATGAGGGCTCCTCCTAGGGGCTACCACGAGTTGGAGACAGAGGAAGAGTTTGTTGGTGCACCTTTATCACCCCAACCAGTTGATGATTTAGAGATTCAATCTTCTGATGATGAGAGTTTCTATGTTAGGGAGGATTGTGAAGGGATCACAGTTGCAGAGTAATAGGTCACTGTGATAGGAGAATTGCAGTGATGTTTTTAATTTTACTTTCATGTTTCGTTTTGCAGGATCTTAAGTGATGAAGACAAGAGGAGGATTAGTCCGTCGAAGTAAACGTCAACAAGGCTTGGATGCTGTAACAGTCATGCAGCGGCCAAAAGCCACCAAAACAAAGAAAAAAAGAATAGGAGAAGTGATGACTGATGTTGTTAACCTTGAGGAAGCTGAAGAAGCTGTTGGTGATCTTGTTCAAGATGTTCAGAAGTCTGGTGATATAGCTGCTGAGGAAGTTGTTGGTGGTCCTGTTCAAGAAGTTCAGAAATCTGGTGATGTAGTTGCTGAGGAAGCTGATGGTGATCCTGATCAAACTGTTTCTGAGAAAGAAGTTGCTAACACTAGTCAACAACCTTTTGAGCAAGTAGATGCTCAAGATGATGATGAGACTGTTGAACCTATGGCAGTTGAAACTGACAATATGAATCAAGATTCTCAACCTGTTGCATCTGAACCTAATGCTAGGGAAGATGACTCTCAGCGTACTGATGCTGGAACTGAGATGCGTAGCACTTCAGGACTAGGAACACCGCAGTCAGCTCCCACTATAAAGAAGAGAAGAGGGCCGACCAAGATGCGTAAAGTGGCTAAGGATCCTCAGGACAGGGTTGAAGTGTCATTCACTGAGCTTGGTGAACATGTAGGTCCTGGTTCAGTGACACTATCATCATTTGTTGGTGCTATTGTGCGTGAACATGTTCCGGTAACACTTGATGATTGGAGAAAACTGGATAGTCAGACAAAGGATACACTTTGGGAGGAAATACAGGTTTATGAACATTAGTGTATAACAGTATTTACAATTTCTGATATTCTTATTAAACTATCAAGTCTAATTTATGTTTATTTTGCTACAGGGGAGGTTTAATTTGCAAGAAGAGTGGCAGAAAGAATCTGTTTTCAAGCAGATGGGTTGTATATGGAGGTCTTCAAAGTCTAAGCTCCTAGGTCTAGTTAGAGATGCAAAGAGTAGCACAGAGAGAATGAAATTGAAACCAAGCAATATCCCATCTATTCCAGTTTGGAACTCTTGGATTAAGAGTAGGACTAGCACAGCTTTTAAGGTTACACTTGTTACTATTTTCTTTGTTATTCATGTGATTTGTCTTGGAGAAAAAGAACCAAACCTACTTGATTGATATTGCAGGAAAAAAGTAACAAGTTCAGGGCATTGAGGAGGGCTCAGATTCCCCACACTACCAGCCGCAAGGGAATGTTTCGTCTAGCTCATGAAATGGTGAGACTCTTTTCTGTAATGAATATCAGATTGTATAATAAAAGGTAACAAAATGCTAGCTGATAAGTAATCACTTTGGCTTATTTGTAGAAAAAAAAAAGTGATGACCCTAAAAAGATCACTAGGAGTAAGGTTTGGATAGCAGGACACACTCACGCTGATGGTAGACCCGTGAGGCCAGAGTTTGCTGACACTATTGTAAGTAATCTTTCTCTTCTTAATGTCTCTGTCACTGATCATTAAGGCAATCTACATGACCCAATTTGTGCTCAATTATTTGTATCAGGAACAAATACAATCACTTGATAGTCAAATGGACTCCACATCAGGTGATAACATAAGAGAAGATGCTGTCAGTAAAGTGTTGGGAAAAGAAAAACCTGGACGTGTCAGAGGGATGGGCAGAGGGATAACTGCTACCAAGCTAGCTTTCATTCAGGCTAGAGACTCTAGACTTGAAGAGTTGCATAACGAGGTTGAAGACTTGAAGAATCAGATCCGTGACTTGGCTGGAAAGAATGTAAGTTTATCTCTCCTTATTATAATGAATTAGCTGAATATAGTTATGTCTTCAACAATTCTTTTTCTTATATGTTAGAAAAACTCTGGTGCTGGGACTTCTCAATCTGAGGTTAGTGATGTAGGCAAAGGAGTTAGGTGTCAGATACTGGATTGGTATGCGAATAAAGATATTGTTGTTGGTGAGGGAGAATTTTGCTCTGCTGAACCTCAGTATCGGATTGGCCGCATTCCACTGGGTGAACACGGCGCAGCGGTCATCGTCACTTCTGTATCAGTTCCAGAAGCATCTCTTTGGAGGCCAACAGCAGATGTGTTCTTACTTCAGCAAGCTTTAGGAGTTAAGATTGCATGGCCAGTCGATAAAGTTATATTGGACAGCGGATTGGACAGCCAGAATAACTCAGAAAATACAGGTGGATGCAAGGTAATATATATTAACATGGAATGTATTTTAACTTGTTGCATCAAACGCTTACTAATGGATACTACTCTACTATAGGATACTGGTACAGATGATGACCAGCTTGGTAGATGCAAAGTTTTTGATTGGAAAATGGATGAAGTTATTGCTGAGGGTGTTATATGTTCCACTAACAAAGATGAGCTGATCGATAACATACCTTTGGGTCTGAATGCTGTTATTCTGATAGTTGATTTGGTCCTTAAACCTGAAGCTTGTTTGTGGAGACCAAGTCCCGAAATGTTTGTGATGGGTGATGCATTGAAAACAAAGATAGCATGGCCAGTCCATAGGTTAGAATTAATGGATGCACCTGAAGAGGCAGTAGGGAGAAAATCATCTACTCCGGTAAATGTTAAGCATTCTCTTTTTTAAAAAATTTTGAGTGTGAAAAATTGATGTGTTAGAATATTGATATTGCTGTGATGGATGTAGTTAAATAATTGTGTTGTTTTTGGGTTCTAGAGTGCAAGTAACACAATCAGGACAGGCAAAGGAGCACATGAAGTAGGCAGAAGACCATCTACTCCGGTAACTTATGAGCATTCTCTTTTTTTTTTGGTGAAAGAATTGATGTGTTAGTATCGATGTTGTTGTGATGAATGTAATTAATAATTGTGTTGTCTTGGGTGCTAGAGTGTGAGTACCACCAGCACAGGTAAAGGAGTAAAGAAGAAGTGCATCCTGTTAGACTGCAATAACTCTGGCCGCAAAGTTGCAGAAGGCAGAGTGTGCTCCACTGACCCAGCTGTTCTTATCCATCACGTCCCATTAGGTCAGAATGCTAGCAAAGTGTGGGTAGAAGTTTCTAAGATTGATGATGCATGTGTGTGGAGACCCAATTCAGAAATCGAATACATTTCTGATGCAATAGGCACTACAGTGGCTTGGCCAAATGACAAACTCTTGTTCATCTAAGCTTTCTAAGTATAATCTCGATTTCAACTTTTTAGTACTCATAGTCAACAAACTAAGTACTTATTTTGTATGTGTTTTTGGATAAGTTTATGCTTTTTTTTTATCAGTTATATTTATCTTTTTAAATATAGAATGCAAAAGTACACATCAAAAAAACAAATATAAATATGACGTAAAAATATATGTACTAATATTTTATTAAAAAAAAAAACTCAGTACATCAAAATAGAAGACGTCTACTTTTTCAAAATTATCCACACATATTAATTCATTTGTTTTTATACATAAAATCAATTAATATTATTTGATGGATAATTAATTTGTTAAATTATACATAATTATATATGAAAATCAAATATTATAGTTTACTTATATTTTTATTGTTAATTTGATATTTTTGATCACTCTATACCCTAAACCCCTATACCCTAAAGGGTTTAGGGTATAGAATTTAGGGTATAGAGAGTTCAATCTTCAAACTTAGTTTACTAATAATCTATTAAAAAAAATAGACAAATATATATTTTATTGTTAATTTAATAATTTCAGAATGAAAATTCAATCATGAACTCTATACCCTAAATCCCTATACCCTATACCCTTTAGGGTATAGAGTTTAGGGTATAGAGAGTTCAATCTTTGAAACTTAGTTTACTATTAAATCTAATAACAAAAAACTTAAAAAAATTATTCAAAAATACTAGGGACATTAAATAAAAACTTCATAGCATAATACAAATCAAAAATTAAATTTTACAATATTTTTCTTTCTCAAAAACGTTTAAAATGGGATGATAAAAATAAATAAGAACATATCCAATAGGAAGAAATCATTCGGATATCTGACGTGGCATGCTATCTGACCGTTGGATCAGAATTTCTCCATTCGATCTATGGCATTATTTTTTATTTTCTTTTATTTGATCAGCAACAATAAATACTGATATAATGTCGACGTTTCAGCTTTCTCTCTTCATTGCAAACCCTAAACAAAACTCCAACGCCGATTACCGAAGCCACAAGACGACGACACTGAATCAAACTGATAATGACGGAAGCCAGTCGACGACGACAGTGAATCGTCAAACTCACGACGACGAAGCCAATCGTGACAAAAGATTGTGACATCCTCACGACGACGAAGCCGGGTCATTGATTGTTTTTTGTCGATTACTTTTCAGATTGAACAAGTCTCTTTGATTGTTTTAACTAATTCATATAACTTACATGTCAAAGTGTAGGGAGATGGATGTAAACTTCCGTTTATTATGACTGATGCTGGAAAATCCCTTTTCAACTTGTAAGATTTCAGATCTGTGAATTTCTCTACATTTTTCTTACAATTTGTATTAACAAAAACGTATTGCTCATGTTCTTTATTTGCAGAAGTTCCGAGGAAGAAGTTACAGAAGACGATGAAGGAGGCTGCAGCGAGGGAGACGAAGAAGACGAAGAAGCTGCAACTTTTTTATTTTATTTTGTTTTTCTATATTTTTTGATGTAAAAAAAATAATAATTGAATTTTTATTTGGGCTTAGTGGGCTCTCTTAAAAAACAACAACCAAATTCAAGCCCAAAAAATTTTATTTTTTTTTTAATTGTTTTAGCCCATATATGAAAATTGTCATTTTAAAATTTTTTTAGCATAATTTTATTTATATACGAAATTATATATATATATATATCCATCATTTATTTTATAAAACAAATTTAAATAGAACTGAAATTATTAAAAATTTACAACAATGATTATCCAAATAAAAATTCAAAGATTTTTAAATCAAATTCAAATTAGACAATCGATGACATATTTTCAAACGCGATAAATAATAGGATGATTAACTGCTATAATACTAAATGCAATCAAATAAACTCTTTAGCAACATAAGGAAACTGCTATTAATATATTAATTGGAAATAACTACCAAATGCTATAATAAACCGTGCTATAAATAAACTATTTAATAACAAAAACGAACTGCTATTGAAAACTCTACAATTGCATATAAAGCAACGCTATCAATAAATAATTAAATATAGCACTTAAGAAAAGCGCTATCGAAAGTGGAAGACCTATTATCGCGGGCGATGACATAGCGTTTTTTTTAACGCTGTAGTATTGTACAATAGCGTTTTTGTGACGTTATTAATACCCGATTTTCCTGTAGTGTTTTCTATTGTTAGCATATGTCAGAATGTTAAGATTGTTGCCTCCTATGATCAATAAGAAACGGTTGGTTACTTACTAAAACATGGAGAAATCTTACTACAACGCGTAAGAGAGACAATTACGTTGTTGATAATTCAAAATCAGACAAATAAATATAGAAAACCAAAAACGTTAAATTTTTATTGGAATCCTCCAAGAACTACTTGCATCACCTGCTGCAAAAAAAAAACAAAGTATGACTGGCAAGATTGAATACAATCATAATTCACTATAATACGTAAAGAAAGGCATATATAGTAGTAGTACCACTTCGAGTTTGAATCTTCAGTTTGGCAAGGACATAAAAATTGAGCTCCATAAACGACTGCTTTTGGAACGTCTTCATCATCATCCTCAACATTGCCGCACTTTTTTTTCGTTCCTTGAGCAAAAAAATTAAAAACAAGATTAGACCAATTTTAAAACCTTACGATATTCTATGAAAGATATTATAATCTAAGATAAGCAAAACCTAGTTTTGTGTTTCAATATTGTTTTTTGTTTTTGCGGAATTTGTTTTCTATTGATCATTGAAACTGGTTATGCTGAGAAAAGAGAGATTAGAAGTTTTCTGGGATTAGATTTGAGATGGGAGCCGAAGATATAGATAAAAAGAAGTGGTTACATGGACGGAAGCTAGAACGGTTCGACTTTCAGAAGTTGGTGTCGAAAAGAACTCTAACCGTGAGATCTGATGACGTGGAAGAAATAATAATTTCTAAATATGTGATGATGTGGCAGCCTTAGATAGAAACTTGAAAATGCTGATGTGGATGGCTTGAGAGGCCTCAAAGAACTCTTTTATTAGTAAGAGATAGAACAAGAAACAAAACAAAAAAAACAAACATAAATTAGCAACAAAAACAATCAACTGAGAGGCTTCCGAGCAGTATATTTGTTTTATATGCATCATGGTTATCTCTTCCGTGTTAGTAGACTCCGACGGAAAAAAAAATAAAATTTAACGATTAAGTTAATTAATTTAAGTATTTAAGTATTTGACTTTGGTTCCCTTTATTAATTTAATCGGACTCATTTGCCCTAGTTTCTGCCTTTCTCTCTTCCATTTTTTCATTTACCCTAGTTTTTTGCCTCTTCTCTCTGTCTCCGAGATGAAGGCCTCCTCCGTTCTGTGTATTGTGTCTATCGTTGCTGCTTTTGTCTTACTTACGTATCTAATCCGGAGAATTTCAAAATCCCCCTCTTCTCTCTGTCTCCGAGATATAGAAAAATCGGACTCTCTGGTCAAGTGTCTCTGAAATCCAGGATCTCCGCTCCAGTCCCTCTAAAATCCAGGCTCTCCGCTCCAGTCCCTCCGAATTCCAGGCTATCCGGTCCAGTCCCTCCCAACTCCAGTCCCTCTGGACTGCTCAGAAGCGTGGACCTCGACGGACTGCTCGGAAGCATTTTCGGAGAGATCGGAACCTCTCAGTCGACGGAATGCTTGGAAGCGTTTCCGGAGACGGACTGCTCGGAAGCCTCTCAGTCGACGGAATGCTTAACAATTTTTAGATGAATAACTCTTGATTCCTTGAATACGAGCAATGGGTATTCATCTAGTGAGATATAATAACTCTCCTATTATCATAAGCAAACAAGAAGAAAGTTGCTTGAGGAAGAATGACTCTTGATTCCTTGAATACGAGCAATGATAATCAACACAGTTTCTGGACTGATGTTGGTTCTCCAACATAGACATTAAAAAAGCTCACATTCATATCAATAACACTAGAAACTGAAGCAAACAATATCTTAGCCAGAAGAAATTTACAATGAATCCTATATTTCAACAAGTCATAGAAAAATATTGATATCAAGGATCTCTCATATATTCAGAGCAGATCCAAAACCATTCTAATAATGAATCTACCGGAATCAAACATTGAAAATTTTAGCTTGAAATTAAAAACCAAACCAATAACTCACTTACAAAATAAACAACCAAACCAACACTAATTAGATATAAGAACTCACTTGTTAAAAGAGAGAGAGAGAGAGAGAGAGAGAGAGAGAGAGAGAGAGAGAGAGAGAGAGAGAGAGAGAGAGAGAGAGAGAGAGAGAGAGAGAGAGAGAGAGAGAGAGAGAGAGAGAGAGAGAGAGGAGAGAAGAGA